AGTATTGACATATTTGAATGCATCACAAGTACAACTGCTAGTGTGAAATGTATTATTTAACGAATTCAAACAACTTGATCGATAGTCAGGTTTGTAATAAAATATTAGTTTTATGCCAACAGGATGCAAATTAAAATTGCAAATACCACCTTTAAATGCACCTTATCGTATAAAAATAAGCACAATTTTGTTGAATTTTTATACGACCCTTATCACAAAAGAATCTATTGAAATTTTACATTCGAAGCATATAGGTAAAGGGAAATTATTAATACTGAAAGGAAGAAGTCAAGGTGACTGAATATTTCTTCGCAGTGTTTGACTGAGGCGTAGGTAATTTGCGTTCTAAGAATTAACAAGGTCGGGAATGGAGTCAGAATGTTAATTGTGGTATATTGAGTCCAACAATTCAAAACGGAGGCAACCTCTGTCGTGTATGCCTTATCAACAAAAAATAATTCCAAGAAATTTGAGTTCCAAAAGTGGACGCCGTACATGGTCCGTTTGGCCGTTGTATTAAAATCATTAGCTGGTTCTGTTTCCTTGAACCTGTTGAAATATAAGGCTCGAGTACATTCAGCAATGTACCTCTATAAATAATTTAATTACAGAACCCGCTTCATTCATGAAGTTTAATAAAAAAATGTAGGTATCTATACAATGTTCGTTTTCTTAGTCAGTTTGCCTAGGTACTATCAATTTTCTGTAATGTCTAACTGACACGAGTCTAAATAATATACCTATCAGAACCTTACTAAAAAAATATTCAAGTGGTGATAGAAATCGTACCGAAATCAGGCGAGTAGTTTTCGAGATTATCCTGAAGATACATACTGACAGACAGACGATGGAAATTTGTTTTTTTAATGTGTAGTGATGAAGTGTTTGATTGTTTTACTATTTTGGTGTAGTGCTGGTCTGGTGGTGTTAGTTCTCTATTATTTAAGGTTAGCCTTAATCAAATAATCTACACTACCTAATAGTTTGCTTGAGTAATGTAATTTTGCATACGTTTGAAGTGTTAATATAAATAACCCTTCATTATGACGTTAATTTAAATATTTTTGTATATACTTTGTAAGCTTGTCAGTACATGTAATATGTTTAGCTTGTAAACGGCTATATTAGGTTGATATTACTATAAATTGTACCTATTTATTAAGGTTTGAATATTCATGTCCACGCGGCTTCAAATCTAAATTTTAATTAAGTATTAATTAATTATTTTAGCATATTTACTGGTTAAAAGTACGAATAGATCTAAATTATCCAGTTTAAATGTCGGTATTATGGTTGTTTACATTTACTGTACAAGTTCTTAGCCTATTAGCCTTCGTAAATATGACTAAATACTCACCAATTATTAATCTTCCTACAGATCAAATGTATCGACCAATAAATTAATAAAATTTTGACAATCTGAAAATTAGTATTCATTACTCAGGCTTGAAATACAGCTTATCCTTCTTGGCTAATTGAGAAACGAAAATGAATATTAATAAAGTCTAAGAACTAAGTTATTAACCAAATAAATTAATAGAATTAGATTCGTAGCGATACTGAAATCGGTTAAAGCGAAACGTGTTTAGTAAATCAGAGATATGACAGTCATACTACAATTTTAGGGGGCGATGAACTTTTAGTTTTCCTAGCCAAAAATAGTACATTGCGTAATGTGGCAGCATCAACAAATACAACCTTGGGTAGCGCACAATTGTCTTGTTCGTCTAATGAATACACATTTGATAGTGTGAGTAACCGGAGTACAACGCGAACCATGTTGTGTTGTAAGATACAAGAGCGGCATTGACATTATTCATTGAACGAACTTGAATTAAAAATTGTTGGCCGACACATGTTTCTACTTTGATAAAGTATTAAAACTCTTTTATATTCGTTCTCTTTTCTGATATAATACGCAATCACAAATATTTTTTTGCTTTTAAAACGGTAACTATTAATTTAAATTAAGTTTTCGGGGATAATAGCAGAAACAGATCGTTCGGAATAACGATAAGATAAAGTACCTACCTACCTTGTTAGTTATTCACTGTTCTTAATTATAAAACCTGCTGACCTTAAGAAAGCTGATTTATGTAGTCCAAGTAGTTTATAAACGACGAATAAGTAAAGGAAACAAGAAAACATTATATCTCTCACATTGCTTAATAACTTGTGGCCCTCTATCTTTCCGTGCGGAGAATAAGTTCAAAATAAGACATCTTAATGTTAAAATGGATGCCTTGAAATATCAACACAGTAGAGCAAGCCAAGAGATAGCAGAATAAGGCATCGGTATCTACCATTTTATGCATGTACAGAGGTAACTTATTTGGCGACGCGACGGTTGAGTCGTGCTCGTGCATCTACGCATTCGCAATGCGCAACACGACAACGCGACTTGGTGGTCAAATAGACCATTATGGAAATTAATTTCCGTCTAAAATACTTTGGCGCCTACAACTCATAAACGTCCGCTGCTCGTATTAAAACACTCGTATATTATGATCGCATCGAATTACTACAGACGAAGTTATTATACTGGTGTTGAGACGTTAAAACATCGACAATACAGCGATAGTCGATTGTATAACAAATAAAATAAAACAATAAATCTTCGATTGGTTTTACCAAACGAGTTTACGCAGAAAGATTTTAAACGCCCGTGAATAAATCAATCGTTGTTTCCCAACTCTTTACTTTTTAATGACTTTTAAAAAGACTGCGTCTGTTGCTGGAGCGGTTCACAGATGTGGGCCCAGCTGTTTCTATGACAGTCACGTTCACGAATCTGACAATGTGTTTGTACTACACTACGCCACGGGCTTGGCTCGTTAAATTTTTATTGCCACAAGGTCGCCGCTTTATGGTCAATTCTCAACAGTTATTGTTCGCGGACAAACTTTTTTTTACAGCACTAGCGTCAATCACTTTATAACGGTAGAGTTACGATTGACAGTGATTAAGTCTTAATTGTTATGATGCTATAAAACTCCTTTTTATATACTCTGTAACTGTTATGATTATCCATTTTTCACATTGATACACTGTTTGTATTATAACGTCATCTGATGATAGAATTGTGTTGAGAACGTGCTTTCACAATTGAATAAACGAGCTGGTGAAGTGATAGATTTATAATTTCAGATCGATATAGAGGACGCTCGCATGTAGGTATGCAATATGAAGGCACGTGAGCGTCATGGTTAGGTACGATTATTACAAGTACGGGTTCTGTTCTGACTTGTGGCCTTTGGACACAATATGATGATAACCAATAATGTTTTGACTACGATTTTGGCGATATCGACTTTCAACAGCCGCAAAGCGTCCGTAATAAAGCAATTTGCGAGCATGCCAACAAAACAATGGACCCCTTTCTAAGCTTGTTTTAAAAGCTTTCGACGCCGTGATTTAAAATCCTTTGACTTATACCTTATTTGTAAACATCTTGTTAGCACAAAGGGACTGTTGTTTATAATAAAAAAGAGAAATTTGCACAACCCTATAGTACGTACCTTTTGTTTAGATTATTCAATAAATTTACAAAAAAATGTGAAAGTAACTTGTCTGTAGGCTCGAGTATTATGGTTCCGTGAATATTGTAAAAAGTTTCAAAAACTATATAAAACTGATCATTACCGATGTAATATTATAAACAAGTTGTTAGATACGAAATAGATACAAAATACCTATACCTACTATATAGGTCGGTAGAAAGGCAAAAATGTTAAATCGTTTACAAAACACGCCCCGTTTCAAGATTGCTATGAAGGACCGGGATGCGGCCATCAACTAAAAATTTATTGTTATAGTTATTAAAGATGGGGAATTTAAATGCTACTCGGGTGCTCCCAACTTGCTTATTTATATTACTTTTGGGAGGAAAATACGGCCGCGTTGTAAATACGAAAGGAAAACGGCCAAGGGAAATAATTGTGAGGCTTATCTATACGGAACACCAGTTACCAAAAATTGAAAGTCCTTGACCATTTTTGTACCTTAATGGTCGGTTGCGCAATGTTGACCCACTATTATAAAACCTTTTGTTCTTAGAGAAAGTTTGTATTTATTGCGAACCTTTTAAACCCTTTTTCGTCACTTTTTTGCAACAGGACAATAGATTGGTGATTGTCCACTCTCAGTGGCAAAAAAAAAACAATGAAAGAGAGATTTTTTCGCAAAAGGAGCCGCGTAAACAAACGTGATACACGATACAAAATACAGGTAGCATTGAAGGGTTAGTCAATACACCTTTGATGCTTTTTTACATACAAATTCTTTGTATTGTTCGTCGATACAAAACACGCAGAAAAGAAATCGTCCAATAAAATTTAAAAAACCTTAAATGTAAATTAAAATAATTATAAAAATAATTAATTGTCAAAAAAAGGTTTGATTGCAATAATCTCACAAAGCCATATCAAATGAATAATTGCAACATAATTTTACGACAGCCTTCAAACGATTTTTTAACTTGAATCATCACACACATTCGACAAAAAAGTAAAAAAAAAAAATAATTTATCATTTATTAATTGTACGGTTCTAATTCTTTTAAAAAGGTAGGTACTACAACAATGATTTTTCCTCAGCCACATAAGTAAACAATGTTGTGACTGAAGACTATTATATTTTGTCTATCACCTGACCTAGTTTCAAACAAAAAAAAAACTCCCATTGACAAACCCCAAAATATATTTTTGACACAACTATTCAACAGTTCAAACAACAGTTCAAACGGTACCTATAAGAAATGGCTTTATTTTATTTAAAGCAATTTATATGACATTATTTTACGTTTTAATTTCAAAAATGTCAGAAGAAGTGGTTTTTAAAAGTTCTGTCATTAGAGTTTTAAAATATCACTTCAGATTGAGAATTCCGAAGCGTATTAGTAACCATTAACAATGCTGTTTAGTCGTATGTGTGTTAAGATTCCTACACCTAAACTAAATATACTTAAAACTAAAAGAAAATAAATTTGAAACGATAAATACCATTGAACTCACCGCAGACCACCCGGTCGAAGGGGCTCATCCAATCTGGAAATGGAAAATCTATTATCAATCGTATTGAAAGTTCTTAGTTTCGGCCAAGTCACATGCACAACATTTAAAGCCTAAACAAAAAACAAAACGTTCATACTATTAAATGATAAGTAAAAAATAAGAAAGGTCAAGTTTGTGTAAAATCATCTTAACGATTTTCTAGTTGTAAAATGTAATATTGGTTAAAATTAAATAATTAAAAGGTAAAGCAATTATGCTTAATTAAGATCTGATTTATTTTTAAAAAAATATTTAAAAATTCTACAAGCCTAACCTATGTTTTTATAATAACTATCGTGAAACATACTAAATTAACTAAAAACGCGGGTTACTCACGTGAATATACTGAGAAAAGCTCTACTAGTTTCGAACCACAGAGGGGTTCTTCCTCAGCAGCGTGCGCGGTCGCGGCGACGTCGCGCAGCTCACTGTATATTCACGCGAGTAAACCGCGTTTTTACTTAATTAAGCCTCACCTACTTGTCTATTTACTCGAAGTTTGCAAATATAAATTTAATCATGTTTGGAATATGAATTTTAAAATTGATGTTTACCACGCCGACACTAGAAATAATACTAGTAGAGTAATCACTGCATAATATAAAACATAGTCGCTATCCGCTGACTGTCTGTCCCTATGTAGGTATGCTTCGATCTTTAAAACTACGCAACGGATTTTGATGCGGTTTGTTTAGATCGAGTGATTTTTAAAGAAGGTTTATATGGATAATACATGCATATTCCATCGGTGCGAAGCCGAGGCGGGTCGCTAGTTAACAATAGACTAAACATTTAATTTGAAACCTGGTAAAACATTGTAGTATAATCGTTTTTATTACTATAAGTACTACCTATTGAAAGATAAAATCGACCGTAAAAATGAAATTAAGCATTTCCACAAAGACAATGCTTACCTATTTGAAACGAGTACAAACTACTAGAAGAATTGACTGTTAATTACTTTTAATCGCGAATCTAAATTACGAGTAAAACATTTTTAATTACACTTTATCAATTAAGGCTGTTATTTTGCTTTTATTGAGCACTGAGTAAAACAATGTTAATTCGAATACCACTATAGTCTGCAAGCTAAATAAATTGCCGACAGCAGTATAGATATTCGCAGTAAGCTTGATCTAATATTGTACAATCAATCATAGTTGATTTCTGTACAAATAAAAAGTATGTTAATATTAAAACTGACGTGAGACATACTAAATTCATTATTATGTTTTCGGCTTTCTCACGTAACTCTAAGAGAAGTAACTTGACTTGTTTCAAGCTAAGCTCATATTCGTGAGTAGCTGTTTAATAAGGAACTCGACTAGGTTCAAGCCATTCAGCAGTAGCGCGACAGTCGCCGCGTCGCATGTCACTGAATGCTGCTCATGAATATGAGCCTCTAGCATGGCTTGAAACTAGTCGAGTTCCTCTTCAAACAGTTTCGTGAGTAAGCCGTGAACATAATAAAAACTAGCACACAGTGTATGTGAAGAGAACACGAAATGATGCCAGATTTTGTCTAAAAATTACCCAGATTTATTTATAACTACGATAGTTAATTATTAATTTAAATATTATTAATCATTTTTAAAAACTCACATGTTTGAAAAAAAATATATATATTTTACGGAAATCTAAAAAGCACTGCAAAGTCTATTATAGTCTATTTTTGCTTCGAATAATAAGTAAGCTACAATATTAATTAACGAAGCAAAAAATATATTATTACGGAAGAGCAGAATTATGCGTACTCTACGCAAAGCAGTTATTACTTACCTATTTATAAAGACATGACATCTGTTATTGAATTATTAGCCTATTAAAATTTCCTGGCATTACATCAAAATCAAAAAGTTATTTTGGATGGAGAGCTAAATAAAATCGGCGTACAGTGAAAAATTAAACGGTGTCTCAAAATATTATCTCTGTAAATATAACAACTAAAACTAAATGTGCAATTAAAAATATTGAGCGAGTAGCAGTTTAAGCAACGTTTAAAATTAACGAGTTTTATCTATCGGAAACATTTAAATTGTCTCGATTGAGTGCAGTCGTTAATTACACGGAGAATGCATAAAAAATCGATTATACGAATCGTACGTCGTATATCGATACTCGAAAATTCACAACTCATTTCGAGATAACAACGGGCTTTCGGTTTCCAATCGAGAATTTAAACTGTCGAAACTTTCGAAAGGCGGTGCAACCCTAAAATGGAAAAGGTTAAAAGTTTTGTATCAGTCCCATATTTCATTGGGAAAAGATAATGATGTTATTTTTCAACTCGAATGTTTTTATTGTTTTTGGAAACCCTGCAACAGAGTAGAAGGTCGTAAACATGTGCGAATGAATCAAGATTCTTCAAAATTTTAATTTAATGCAAGTAATTTAAATCTTCCTTATTTTCTTTAGTAACAATGTGTACTTAATATACAAATGTTTACAATGTCTATCACAATTTTTAATGAATAACGTGTTACAAATAGCAATCAATAGTATAAAGGGCTTTTGATGGCATGTGGGTTCCGATTGCTCACGCCGCGCTACGATTGGCTGTAAATGACGGCCATATTTGTTCGGCGCATGCGCTCTACACGCCACACACATGTGACTAGGGTTCTTCTCTTCCGCGGTACACCATGTTTACTGTCAAATGCGAGTTGCGTTTGATGTTAAAAATGACTAGGTGTTTTGTTAAAACTACTTTGTTATTGTTATTGAAGAAGCAAGAAATGTTTTGATCTCACTTAAAATAGGTATTACCGATTTCAACTACCTATAGGTTTCTACGCACCCTTTTGTTTATTATAGTTAAATCTTATAATTGAATGTTTAGGGAAACATTGGAGTTATAAATCTGAGACACGTGTTTAGTTTTTCCATTCAGCATTACACGATGAAAAACAAGAAACATTGAATCGCACTAAAGTTCATTCAAACTAACACTAGCGTAGTGTTTGAACGTAATACGCTCTTATACTGTCAAATTGTTGTAGAATGTTGCGCGTTACGACGTATAACTGTCGGCTACTGACAAGTCCGCCATTTTAATTTTGTGTGCGCGCGCGCAAGCACCTGCCACGATATTTTTATCTTCTCGAGACGAATTTTCACCTACATCAGCCCGGACATTTTTATATGCCAACATTGCCGACAAATCACAAAAATAGTCCATTGCTAAACAAAAACAAGATGATTATAGCCTATTTTATATAATTTCAGTGATGTATGAGGCTGTTATGACGTTTCATTGGCTTTGATTTTTTTTTGCATGACACTAGGTCGTCAGTGCCAAGAGCGTCGATTCAGTGTTGGGTTGAAAAAAGTATGTTTCACACATATCTCATGGAAGTCTAACTATAACTACACCGCAGTCTGAGATATTTATATGCGGATTTTTTTTGGCATAATTGTGATGTAGTTTATCAAATTAAGTGATGCGACTACGCTTTTTTGAGTGGTCTATAATTGTCTAGGTATTGAAATGAGTCGGCAGTGAAATGAATTTTATAAATGGTGCCGGAGCTCTAAACTTCTGTTTTGAATTTCAAAATTTAATACTTATGTATATTAAACTTTTATCATATTTATTTTTGAGTAAGTAAGTTTAACATATTGAATTTGTTACGCTAAAATTTATTTAAGTGGATGTTTAATTTTTATAATAAATATAATTAAAACCTTGCTTGCAATGAAACCTTCAAGTAAATAGGTAATATACTGCGGTATGAGTACCTAACAATATAATCTTTTTAAAATTGATTGATTTATTTTATTACGAATGAAGGTTATAATAATTAATAATACAGATGAAATCATCAATAAATTAACATTTATACTTTATCTAAAATATGTGAAACATATTAACAATTCAAAACGCTAAAATTAAAATTAAAATAATAGATTTAATTTATATTTGATATTCAAATAGGTAATATATTGATTTGTAAAACTTTGTGCTGTCACATAAAATTGGTTTTTTAATTTTATATTAATTAAGACAATACTATTTTCAATTGTAAGATTTTAATTACCTAATGTGCTATTTTAAAGGTACATAGGTAGTTAGATATTAATGTTTTGTACTTTGAATTCATTTTTAATGTATCTTTATGTAGTAAATGCAATAAAACTAGAGATAAAATAAGTAGTCTTAAGGTAATGGCATATAAAAATATTTTAATGTAACAGAAATACTTTATCAGTTCATTTCAATTTTAAATGTATTTTAATAAATAATTATTTATAATTTGTACCTATATAATTAGTGAAATTTTCGCTCCGATAAATTTAAATATATCTTAAAAATAAAAGGATTGTAGTATGAATTATATTAAAAATAGACTTGTTCAAAATTAAATTAATATGTAATGAATTTTACCTATATGATTTTAAATTTACTACTGTTCTTATATTTCATTGGTTAGTTCCAAGTTTTATTTAGATTTGATTGGTTGTTGAATAGAAGTGAAAAGTAATTTAATTCTTAGTAAAGTGTTCGTATTAGTAGGTTTTTATTTAAAAAAGTAGCATTTAGTTATTTTAATGGGTTATATGGAAAATCAATCAATTAAAACCATTGTACCTAAAGCATATTTATATATCTACTTTTATTTGAGAACTGATTACTTAGGTATATAAATATCAACTAGAATAATTATTAGGTATTATAAATGACATTAAATAAATTTCAATTGTTTAATTAGGTACTCTTTACAAATATATATAGGTACTATATATATATACCTAAATTGAAATATAAATAAGTATGTGATCTGTTTTATAAAGTATAGTAAATAATTATAGGTAATCTACTTAATTTGTATATAGAAAAGGGGAATAAATTATTATATTACAAAATTTTGATTATTTTCATTTCTAGTATTTTTATATATACATATATTAGGTACTATATATATAATTTAAACTTTATTTATTATCGGTAGGTATATGTATAATGTAGGTAAATATACCTCTATAAATCCGTTTTCTAATTCTGTCCTATAAAAACAATTAAAATCGTTTCTCTAATCATCCGATTCGATTGAATGCAATATTTAGCCCTATAATAACGGAAGATTGATGGTTAGCTAATAAAATGGACTATAATAAAAATAATTGCGCTATTGTATGCAAAACATACAGGCACTTTGAGACTGTAATCGTTCGCCTTTTTTGTGTACTAAGTAGACCTCACAAGATTAAATGGTTTTGGTACTCTATACATGCAAATTCGAAGCATTAAAATCTGTTATATATGCGTTTAGGAACTTTATATTTTGACCTATTTTCTTTGTTTTATTATATATACTTAAAGTGTTTTCTTACAAATATTTCAACTAAACGGCAGACTACAACGTACTCAAATTAATTTAGTCAACAGTAAAATATTTTAATGCATTCTCTTTCAAAACACATTCCGTTTTAATAGACATTTTCCTAGTAGATTAGCTTTTAAGAATATGTAATTTCCTGAATATATTGTTAATGATAATTAGTTAATGTAGGTACATCTGTTTTATTTAAACTTTTTATAAGACAATAAACGCAAAAATGTTCGAAGGAATTCATTGTATTGGTATTTCGATAATTTAATTTGCTTAAGTAACTGCTAACTAAAATTTTAAACAAAAAAACTTTTATTGTGATATATAAATTATTCAGATTTTTTATTTAAATTGTTAATTTACTGTTTATTAATCAATTCACATTAATTTAATTACCCAAACAGTAATTATAGGCTATTAGCAGTTTATTAGGTATTATAGTTTTAAGTATAAAACGTTCTATGTAAAGTCTATAAGTAAAGTCCCGCCCATTGCCGACGGCGGGAATGGGCGGTCCGAGCGCCGGCGACCGACGGCCGAGTGTAACCGAAGAGAACCAACCGAATCGAAGCGCCGGCGCAATATTTACGACCTTTATCCATTGTTTTATGACTCGTTTTCACAAAAAGACCCTTAGTATTTCTTTAATTACCTTATTTATATTCCCCACAACAAATTACATGTGTTCTGATTTTATTTATAGTTGGTATTTTATTAAAATAGCTGCTAACTTCTATCAAAGTTATTTAACACCCGTAAAGGATTCTTGTTCTGATTTATTGATAGTAAAAATAATAATGCTCGGTTTTATTACATTTATATTGCACTGTTTGAATTATTTTATTGTTAAATAAGTGCTAAAATAGTGTTAAAATGGTTTTAATATGCAAAAAATAGGTTGAATGCTTTTTTCTAATTGGAATATCAAGTATTTGGTACTAAAGTGTTATTTTTATCGTTTTCTTTTATATTTTTATATTATAATTACCGTCATATATGTACATGTTAGGCAACCAAATTGTAATCAAATAACTAAAAGCAAACCTACATATCTGACAAATTACGTACAAATTCTTTGTGGAGATAACCACAAAGCCGAACGAAACATGATTTTTTAAAGCAGCAAAATAATAAATAATGTGTTTTTTATATGTTTAAAACATTGCCATACAAAACAAAAACATTAAGAGCAAATTTAATAAAAAATACATAACGACCTATGTGTTAAATCCTCCTAATGAAACTTTTGATAAACTTTAATAAGCAACAAAAAATATCTAATCCATAACAATTGTTTCAGACACGGCAAAGTCACAAACGATCATGCAGTGAAGGAGTAAAACATTTACCAGTGATGGACATCCAGGGGTACCGCGGTATGTCTGGCAGGGGCTGAGCAGAGCCTGGCTGCGAGCATGCCGCCCCCATAGCATCCACGGTGGCGGCAGACGCAGCTGATGCTGCAGAAGCTGCTGCTTGATGATAGAACTGTGCAGCGGCTGCCATGCTGGCCGATGCTGCCGACACCGCTGCTCCACCATTGTGCTGGCCCAGCGCGTAGTTCACCATTGGGTCTCCTCCCACAGCCGTCGGGTACCGACAACTCTTGTCATCCGCCGCGGATAAACCGCCACCAGCAGAGAACGGCACCGAACCTCCGAACTGCTGGTGATGCGACACGTATGGATACATCCTCGCCGGTGCACCCGGCGATGCTGATGATGAGGACGAGGACCGCTGCGGGCTGCCGGCGCCCGGCGAGCCTGCCCCCAGCGCTGCCGCTCCCAGTCCGCCAGACAGCGAACTCGAAAGCGACGTCGATAGAGACGACGACAGCGAAGATGACAGCGACGCCTCTATAGGCGACGCCCCAGTTCCCGCGAACAAATTCTGGTGGTGGAACTGCTGATGGTACTTCGGGAGCATGCTATCGATGATGAACTTGGAACTCATCGCTCGGCGGCGACGCGGCGCGCGACGATCGCCTCGCGGGAGATGCGTTTATCGCCGGCGATTCGGATCGATTCTCGCGCGTGCACCTCTACTATGGCCGCGGATCGTTTATGACCCGCGTATGAGGCTCTACGACTCCGAATTCCCCGTCGTGGCGAGCGTTACCGCTGCCGCGCGCCGCGCTCGAGACAGCAAAACACGCCACGTGCGTGCGAGCGAGACGCAACGATGATCGGAGGCGACCCGCCAGAACCCTCTCCGTCTCATTAATTCCTACCTGCGTGGCTTATATTAGAAAGAGATAAAAGCTATTCGCTAACGACCATTGCGACGGCCATTGTTCGTAATGGCGCCGGGCGCCCCGCACCTCCGCACCGACCTCGTCTACACCAATAGTGATCCGGTGCAGAACATTCACCGCCAATCACAAACCATTCCGGCACTTCTAGCTGTCAAATTGAATGGCTTTAAACAGAATTGCAACATCACATTTAATACGAAAAATATTTTTATAAGTACTTTGTACTGAAAAAAATTTTTAAGGTATAAAATTGTTTCTCAAATCAATAAAAGATATTATTTTCATTGTTCAAAAACCCATTTCCTTATTCCTCATATTTGCTTGTGTAACTTGTAGGACTCTCAAGGATTGGCACAAAACTTAAGATAATATTGGTGTTAATTTATAAGAAGTAGGTCAAACCACTCATTTAGAAAAATAAAATTTAATATATCAATTTAATTTACAAATAATTAAAAACTTATTACATAAAAGGCAATTCAGTCATGATTTTACAATAGGTACCATATATTCCTACAGGTAATTATTGTGGCTTGTAAGTATATATTTTCTTGAATATAAATTATAAAATTTTGACATGTTATTGACATGTTCAAATTTTGTTATTTAAGTACAAAACGTAATAATTTTATTTATGCTAAATTTGTCTTGGCGATTATTTAAGCGCTTTTATTATAACAAACGAATGCAGTTGTAATAGACATCAAATATTTAAAAATTCTGAATTGCACAATTCACACAGTAAAAATATTAAATTCAAAACATGAATTGCTCTAAATTGCGTTACGCCGGCCACGTGGACGGACGAGTACTATCCATCTCGTTTCTTTGAATATCCCTTTCTCAGTCGCACGTTTCATTCATACGCATTGGTCGTAACTACACCGAGCACATGTACAATAACAAACTTTACGACTATTAAAATAAAATCGTTTATTGCCTGAGAAGTTTATTTATTTGTTACAGTTTTGATTGTTAAACGTGTTTAGTGCATGGTTTTTATAGGCTTAAGTTGCCTTTTCAGCTTTATCAGGTCGGTGGTACGACTGTGAGGCAGTAGAACATTGCATAAGTATAGGTTTTATGTTGTTATTGTGATGTTTTCGCCGTAAACGTATGGAATGCATGATACGGCCAGTTAAAGCCGTTTATTTTGCGATATAAGCAATTTTTTTATTGATTTTTAATGAGGTTAATGACAGTTTAATGTATCGCTTCGCTGGAGGAAACTCTTTAGACCGTTACGTTTTGCATTTTGCGTAGATAAAATTGTTTTGACAACTAGATAATACATTAATATTTTAAATTTTATATGATAATACCGAAATAACATTTTAATACTGGTTTATTTCTATTCAAAATTTATTTTTAGAATGCGGAAATATTCTTAAAATAAAATAAATATAGGTAGTACGAGTAAATAAATGTGCATAAATATCTGAAAATGTAAAATGATAGATGACCTCTTTTTAACGACTGAATGAATAAGGTCACTTCTACGTTTTTATTATTTCTTTACACATATTTATATATTTATATTCTTAAACAAAGATGTTTATTAAAAATCTCATAAAACTTTTATTTACATATTTCGTGTTAGTCGGCAAAAATAAATAGAAAACAATGTGAAAATATATAGCTGCATACACCCACTCTTTTTTATATATTATTGTTATATATCATGACTATAGTAGATTATATTATTAAAAAAAACACTGCCTATAAGTGGGCTATGTCTAGCAATCTAATCTGACCTTCTTTATACATAGCAATCGCACTTAAAACCATTTAAAATAGAACAACAATGCAGACCTGTAAGTATTAACAGACAGTATTAATAATAATATAGATAGACACAATTTAATAATGATAAATAAAATATTATACAACGGTATAAAATATTGTTACATTTTGTATAAGACATTGGTATATTTTATAAAGAATAATTATTTTAAAAATACGAACTTTACATAGCATAAGTAACATGTTACTAATATTACTTATAATACTTCAAATAACAGATACACATAACAGGTATTTATTTATAAGTGTTACATATATTATAATTTCTAATAAGAACATTTTTTGTAATATAACGATAGAGTATACCAATAGAAGTTTGGTTATCAGGTTTGAAATAAAAAGGGTTGTTTAAGTGAATAAAATTAACAGTAACTAGGTACCTAACATTAAACAGTGCCTACGTATCAAAACTCTAATTGGAATTTAGGCTAATTGGAGAAAATTATAAATGGCAGTTCCAACCAGGAGATACAAATAATAGGTTAGTCTATGTGTAAAAATAATATCTAAATTGTATATAGGTAGGTACTTTATTTAAGTTAATATGTATATGATATTATACAAACAATTTTTTAGTCCTGGTTACCTAATAAGCTTCTAGAGGAAATGAACTTTTAGTAGCTTTTAGAGCTAAGATATCTATTGTACAAATTTTAGCTTAGGTACGTACAACAAATAAAATAATGATAGAAATGAAAGAACACATCTTGTATCATATAGCAATCAGAAAATTACATTAATAGTTTATGTAAAAAAAATTATTGTACTACAAAAAAGCCGCGATCATATAAAAAATCTACAAAATTTCCAATCGTAATACGGAATAGACAATATTGCAACACAGTCAAAACATAAAAAAAGTTCTTTGTCCACTAGTTCAAGAGTTTGATCGTATAAGGCCCACGTACCAAAAAGGCACGCTCCCTAAAAAGAACACGCGTTGGTGCAATCACCCTTATTTTATAGATGTATCTGTGTACTGGAACTTCTATATTGCAAGCCGCAAAGTCGCCAGTGGGCGGAGCAACGTCCATCGTAAAAGTGTTTCGACTCTTTGGAAAATTTACAACTATCGCTTTTGAGATTTAACGACCAGTTTATAGATCCAACGCTTTTAAATTCGATATAAAGTTGCTTTGTCTCAATGAAACAGCTATCAATGTGACAAATGTACCACTTATGCTGTATGCTCGTGTAATTGTGGGACATCTTTTATCTTAAACGGCTATCAGTATTTTTTACGAGTTTACTACTCCAGTAATTGTTATTGAATCGTTTTCAGTGGTCGCGTTTTTTTGCCGGTTTTTCAGAGCAGGTATTTCTATTGGATATCTCTATATACTAAGCTTCATTTAGATTGAGACAAAAGACATTTGGTCGTTTTTTCACACAAATAAGTTAAAAAACTAATCTAGCACTGAAGTCAACTCCATCCAGGCACTTATAGATGCTCAAAAAAGGTGCAATTGTGCATTTTCTGGTTCTTAGAAAAGGTCGAGTGTCAAACCGAAAGCATAAGATGCCTTGACGACTGACTATCCAATTTTATGCTCACCCTGATAACTGCCATCGTCACCTGAAACAAAAAACAAAATGCCATGAGCATACGGTGTCATAATCTTTGACGAAAAAATCAATATCAGGCTACAAAAAAATACTATTTAAAGAAAAGGAAGATTATATGATGTTCAAATATCGTAATAATGGGTTAGTTCTAATAAACGCACTGAGTACTATTCCTCAATAGATTAAGGAATGGCATTCAATGTACATTTATTCAGTTCAATCTATTAGAATCTAAATTTTGTCTTTGAGAGAAGTGTGGGAGAGCCATGCTTTGGCACGAATGGGCCGGCGCGACCGGAGTGATACCGCACGGCCTCACAGAAAACCGGAGTGAAACAACGCTTGCGTTGTTTTGTCATGTGAGTGAGGTTACCGGAGACCCAATTACCCCCCTCCCTAGTAGGTATCCTGAATCCTCCACAATCCTCAAATTCCCAATTCCCAAAAGGCCGGTAACGCACTTGTAACGCCTTGGTGTTTCGGTTTCGTCTGCTCGTTTAGCGGCTTATGCCTTAAAAAAAATAATATTTATACACTACAAAACAATTTCTTCATGCAAAATTATCTATATAGCAAACCAAAAATATAGCTAATATTCGAGCATCACAGACACTGTAAGCATCTGCTCTTAAATATCACCGATACTGTTATACCAATTCTCTTTTCTCTCGCCTTTTTCAATTCGTTTGAGGGGTCTTGAGAAGTTATCATGTCACTATCATAACATAATATCACGCCTTCTTACCCCAAAGGGGAGGACAAAGATATATTAGAACACCTTCGCCAGATATGTTATTAGCTGCATAAATAAGGGGGGCCTCATAGAGATAAAATTAGGTGCACATTTTATAAATATTTGTGATTGTTCTTTTATTTCTTCAGAAAATTTTCCTGTAATAAGTATGGTATTTTTCTGCGGTATAAAGTAACGTTTTTATGGTATTATCACCTACCACTTCTACTTCTACCACCTTTGATACATAGGTACAGCCGGGTATTGGTCCTCAATTGGCGTTAATAAAAGTAATTCTGGATTGGGTTGTGAAAAGTTTGAAAAGTTTTGGTAGTAAATGAGATTGTCAATTTCTATGGATGCCTCCAGCCTCAACTAGGCAACAAAGGATATTGAGACAATATTTTAAATAGAATAAAATCATGAAATCCTTACTAATACCTAGAGATGGCTCTAATATATGGACCTGAATTAAATATCAAACAACAGGCAGTAGCTATAATAGCTTTAAAAAAGTTATAATTTGAAAACATAATAGGCACTATCCCTAAAACTTTTTCAACAAATTTTTACAGGCTCAAGAAGGAATACCCAAATTTCTTAGCTCGAAAACTAATAAGTACAAATCCCCATAAAAAGATAACGTACCCCGCGTACTAAAGGTTCTTAAGTAGCAATATTTATTTAGCTATTCGGCTCGTATCGTATACAAAAAGGGGGGTTAGTAGGAAATTTTAATTTCACGTCTGGAGTTGGGCGGGGAGCGGAAATTTGTGTGGCATAATAAGTGAGATTGTTGCGAAATTTGCTACAAGAAAAAGAACGAGGGCTCCCATCGCAGCGCCGCGACGTTGATTTAGTGTGGATGTGCTATGGATGCTGAATATTTTTATTGTTGCTACTTAAAATTGTTTTTTTCTAAGTAAAAGAAGACGTCTAAAACGTGACTAGATTTTATATTATCATATAATTTATCTCTGTGTGAACACTGTCTCAAAGTTCGTTGGTATTTAAGAATTCTGACAATCAATTAAAGCTTTTGATTTTTACATTTAGGAAAAAATAGCTCAAAGTTTATAAAAGAGCCTAGGAACAGTTGCATCAATGTCAAAGTTTGAAAATTGGTACGCTGGTTTAAGGACACAATAGTCTCTAGGAATCAACAGTAGGTACTACTAAAGTAAGTACCTACGTAGGTTGGTTAAGTAGGTATAGAAAACCGCAATATATTTCATCTCGCACTGACTATTTATACCTACACCATTTATTCAACAAAATTAAAGATCACGATAAATCAGTATCAAATCAAACGGTAATCACAATTATACTTATAATGTAGCACGAATTAAAAACAAATTATGTAGATACACAATGCTAATTTCTATTACTTTGTCGGCTTTCGATGCAATAGAACGGCACTTTAACTATTCTAATAATCAATTACTAAACAAAAGACAATAAAATGCTCATTAAAAACTTTTCTTCGTAGAAAATATAATAAGGTTTTGTTTTTGCTGCACGTATACAGTAATTACAATAACTTGGAAAGTCATAAAATACAATCACATGTACATTAAGGTATGTCTGTGTTGCTTTCCTTCGTTTAACATGGGAAAATAAGTATAATTACTTACGTTCATTATAAACATAACATCTTTTATAGAAAACGGGAAATTTTATTCTTGGTTTTATTTCAAGTAAGTATAGTTGAGAGATGCACTTGCATAAAAAGATACCAACATGATTTACGTGATAATAAATAAAGAAGAGATGTTTTAATAGTTGGTATAATTATAACCTGTCAATTTTATTTCATACTTGCTTCTGCAAGCGGCTTCGCTCGCGTTCACGATAAGGTTTGTATTAGGTACTCCAGACCAAAATCTACCTCTGTTACAAATTTCATCCCGCTCCCGTCAACTGTTTTGATGTGACTGACCAACAAACATATACAAAAACACACAAACTCACTCTAACCTAAAATTCGACGAAGTTATATTTGTGTTTGGTACAAGAATTGTGTCTATGAATCGAGATTAAAATACCCAGTGTGATACCCAAGATATTAAAGTATAATCATACCAAGTATCATCGTAATCGGACTAAGTATTAGTTTTTGCGTCATGCAATCGTAATACGGTAAATATTTTCAAAGAAAAAGTAAGTGTTTGTGTTCAATGTGTTAATGCGAACGAAGAAAAAATATAAATTAATCTCAAAATAAAAATTCCCCTTACGCATTCTTTTGAAAAATATAGAAATGCAAGGTTTAACTTCGCAAGCCTATTTATTAAATAATTTGCTAAAAAATCAAAGTCGCATCCACTCTAAGCGAGCGACATTCGGTGGGCGCACGTGTAAGTGGCAGCTTCAATATTTATGTGCAATTTTTCCAGCGGCCCCCCTCGCCCCGCAGCAACTTCACCCCCCCTCACCGTGATAAAGGATGCAACGCGCGCCCCGCAACCCCACTGAAGCACCCTGAATTGCGTAACAATGAACACCGTTTATAATAATTTTATTAATAGGAATTATTTCGTACGAGGCTGGAATACAAAAAACTCCTGAAATAAACTTCAAGATATTCTCCTTCAAGATCGCTTTCAAAGTTATCGATGGCGGACTGGAAATCTTCAATTAAAATTTTGTTCTTTAGCTAATTTCCGAGTAAAACAGGGTCATTCTAATTAAGTGTACCCAGGGGAGTTTGTAAAGGGCTTTGAACCCATTTTATCTCTTGCCTACCAATAAACAGCACAGACCCTTTGTTTCGGTAGACACTTATCTTGGAGCAAACTTACCTTGTTGGTTTAGTGGCTGAGATGGTTTCTGTTAACCATAAGGCCCTGAGTTGGTCAAAGAAATAAAGGAATTTTACATTTTCTACGGAAACGACAAACAATGAAACAGTTTTGGGGTATTGTTACTATCATGTGATTTACCTTCATAAAAACCGTAGTGGGATCATTATAAAACACCTGAATTTCTTCCCTACTTCAGTCTTATTTTTAATATTAAGTTTAGGTAATTTGTCATCATCTGCGTACATATTTCGATATATTTTTACAGCTACTTTAATCTGCGATATATAATGAAGATACACAATTTTAAATCCAAACTAGTAGGTTACGATACGGCTACGATCGACCGCTTATCTACGGCACCAAATATCTACATCTAAAATTACGATCAGTATCATTTTCAACAAGAAAATGTAACTGGTAACGTTATAAAATTAAATAATATCATAACTGGCCGTTCGTGCGTACTATAGAAACTGTACAGTAATATTATTCAAATAAAAACAATTTCAATTTGTTCTCAAATTGAAACAGAGAGCTGGCGGCGTGTTATTACATTTGGGCGGAGGTTAGCTGCGGTAGAGCGTGTAAAGTGCCTATAGAGCCTCCCGCCTCGCCCTCTCATAGCCTATAACACCAGCATCAGGGCTTTCCTCAAAAAGCCTCAAAGAACGCCTCAAATTTAGCGACTTTTCGCTCTCAATACTTTTACGGGACATTTAGAGGCTTACGCTGAGTATGTACGTCATTTTTCCCTTTGTGCTGTGGAGGTAAGAAATATAGTTTTTGATAGACGTGCGTTCCGAACGTTCGGTAGTGTCATTTGGGGGTGTAAAAGGGAAGGCGATGATAGAGGTATTTCTTATTTAGCGAAATATGCTATAACGTGTTCGTATGTGCGGTTATAAAAGTGTCGTAGCGATCCATGAACGTCTCGAGTACACGTAAATGTTCAATAAGTAATATATTTTATGTATCATTCTTGTTATAATTATTAAAATATTATTTGCTGAATTTCCTTTAAAGAAATGGCATAAGACGTGTTCAATAAAATAAGTATATTCTCATATTAGTTGAACTGAAGTACCATAACATAAATAAATTGATTATGTCAGAGGACTGCCTTACAGCCACGTGGTTTTAAGAAATATGATACATGATGTTTTCTATTTATATGAGAAAAAGGTGGCTGTTAAATAACACTAGCATAATAATGTCATTCTTCATTCGGGACCTTTTATCAAAAACTAGCAACTTCTGCGAGGTTATTCTAGGTCGCTTATTGATGATTGTGAGATGTTTTATAGACTATAGCCCCAATAAACGGACTATGTAAAAAATTCAAATCTGACCAGTAACTTCTGACATCAGCACGTTCAAACAAACAACTCATCAGCTCTATATGATTTATATGAATAAATATGAATTTTCATTCGTTAGTCTCTCTAAACTTCGAGAACAGCTGAACCAATTTGA